GATCTACACAGTTCATCCTAGTAATAGTAAAGGTAATTTTACTGTTATCATATTTACAACCTTCCTGTTATCCTAACATAAAAATAATATTAATAAAAAATATAATAATTTGTTAGAACAGCAAATTTGTCTTTTCGTGGGCTTACCTGACATAAAATTGACAAAATCTAACATAATAACTGACCTCCTTTCTGCATCTCTGACATTTTTTTTAAATTAAAAATATTTTAATGACTGTGAAATGTGATAAACTTTGATCTTGTTGTAGTTTTGATAATTTATGGCAAATGTTGCTCCTTTTTGTTCGTCCTTGTCTGCTGCATCTCCTTTTTACCACCATTCATGGATGTTCCTGAGTCAAAACAACGCAGAACAATGGCAGCTGAGCAGCGCACGATAAGTCACGTGATCCAGTCCAGTCATGCAGATCAATGACCCGGCCCACCTACACCAGAATGTTTGGAGGTGTTGTGGAGGTCAGTTGTTTATCTGTTTTTTCAGTATCGTTACAAACGTCTCCCAAAACTAAACATTCAATTATTTCTACACAAAATACATCTGGAGTCAGAAAAGAACAGACTCATGTCAGAGTTTCAGTCTGCAAAGTGAGAAAATGACAAACTTCCAGCTGTTTTGGTCAAGTTTTAAAGAATGCACAATAAAGAGGATTACTTAAAGCAAATCGAGGTTTTTAACGGTGCTGAAGGTAAATCCAGCTGTTTGGCAGCAACTGCACACCTGCTCTGTGGCTCAGAGGCCTGGAGTCGCCTCTGGGGTCCTCAGAAGTCCAGGTCCCAGCCGGACAGCTCGTCAGGAGGACTGTCTTCATCTGCAGGGTAGTTGTCAAAGTAGCTGAAATCAGCCGGTCCACTGAGCTGAGGAGGAGAGAGAGAAAACTGTTCCTGTGGTTTTCTTCCTGTGAGCTCAAACATCAACACTTACCTCTCTTCTGAGGGGAGACTGCAGCGTCTTCACCTTCAGCCCCTCCCAGTTGAAACCATTAAACCATCTGCAGAAACATCAGCACCAGATAAAAGATTTATTCATTTCATTTGGAGGCTTTCCCAGTTCCAGGTTTTTTGTTTTTTTTTTGCTAGCCTTAGCCCTATATCACCATTTGTATCATATTTGCTACGCAGGATTCTATGACCTATATTTTAATAATGGGATTATATTAAATTTAGTATTTAATTAGTTATGATAGCTTAGTTATGATGTAAATACAATAAAAATTAAACCAAGATTTAGAATAATTATCATTTTGATCCATACATTGGTAATGTGTGACTGGTCCTCGTGCCACTTTATGTTCAACAAATTGGGCCCCGAGGTCAGAAAGGTTAAAACCCCTGTTATAAACAAAGTGATGTGGCAAAAACATTTTTGGGGGATTTTGTTTAAAGGCCCAAAAAACATGTCAGTTCTAAAAAATGTGAATTTTCTGACAATTTTTTAAAGGGTTAGGCTTTGATCTGATTAAAGTAACCATAAACTGTGGGTCCATGTCCAGAACACATTTGACACCATGAATCTTTCCGAAAACACAAACCGTTCTCCTCACCTGTGCTTCTTGATGTCAGTTATTCCATTTTTCAGGTTTCCCAGTCGCTCTGCAGGGTTCCTCCTGTAACACGGATCAAACACTCAGCTTAAAAAACAAATTTGACCATCACATCGAAATGAGGATTAAGTCAAATTTGGTCAAAATGACCTAATTACATTTTCAGATTCCTGCTTTAAAAGCTACATTTTGATACCAGGATCATTCTGATATCATAAGTGGATCCAGATATATGAAATAATTTGTCTTGTGGTTAAAATAATACAATAATACTTGGTATGAATCCTGATTTTATGTCATTTTAATAAGCAGTTTTTGATGTGATAAAGAGGAAATTTCAAAAAGTATCTGAATATTGAGATTTTCCAGCTGGAAAGAAACTAAAACATTGCGAGCTCACAGGGAAAATCACAAAATTTTAAGGCGTTTTTGCTCAAAATCAGTTTTTCTTGTTGCTGCTGCTCAAAAGAGTGCTTCAGAATTTTGTTTTAGGATTATATTTCAGATTTAAAAGCATCAAATATGTGACCCATCACATCGATGTGATGGGTCACATACATGATGCTTTTCAATCTGTCTTCTTCACATTTAAATCCTTCATTCGGGGTCTATATGAAGTGGAACTGCAATGCTTTGGTCTGAATTCCACCTTATTGTCGACAAGCCCCGCCCCTTTTTTGGGGTGTGTCTCAGATCAACTCGTTTCGAGGCTGTCTCTTCAAATCCAAAAGAGGAGCTTCTAGAGACTCCAAGTCCACAACAAAATGCATTTCAGGGGGTTTAAGGTTTGCCCCGCCCCCTGCCACGCCCCACTGCAGCTGTACCTGCACAGCTTGCGGATCAGGTCCTCGGGTCTCTTGCTGATCTTTTTGGGGAAGTCCATCTTTTCGATGCCTTTCAGGATGAAGGTGTAGGTCATCATCTGGTCACTTCCTGAGAAGGGAGGACTGTGGGTTTAACAACAAAAACAGTTTTTTTTAGCTTTTTATTTAGCTTTATGCAGCTTGGAATGACCTGAACTTCCTGACACAAATTGGAATTGAACCAGCAGCCTCAGGATGACTAAACCGTGGCTCTGACCCACTTAACCCCACAGGAAGGACATTGCTGCAGAGTTTGACCCCGGCTGACCTGCCAGTAAGAAGCTCAAACACCAGGATGCCCAGGGCCCAGAAGTCCACGCTGAAGTTGTGGCCCTTGTTCAGGATGATCTCCGGAGCCACGTACTCCGGTGTTCCACAAAAGGTCCAGGTCTTCTGACCCGACCGGATCTTCTTGGCAAAACCAAAGTCAACCTGCGGAGGTGGGATTCATCGGTGAGCTCCACAGAACTGAGGGTTCAAAAAGGTACAGAAACTTATTTTTCATTTATTTACAAAACAAACTTCATGCTGCCAGGTGTATCCCAAAAATTATTTTGAGTGGGGTCCGGGGGGCGAGGGGGGCAGAGGTGTCTTTGGTGGGCCCAATGAACAGCCCTTGATCAGAGCTAAACAACAAAAAATCTGAAGATCCTACGTTGAACAGTTTTTGAGTTATAAGCATTTTTGTACATCCAGAAGCCCCCATTTTTTTAGTTGGAGCCCCCTCCTCAAATTTGGGGTCTATTGTAAAACCGTTGGCTGCTGCAGTGTAGGTCGGACTCATCTACAGTCCTAACAAATTTCACACTGATTGGTCCAGCCATTTCGGCGCTATTGCACGAAAAATGTCTGAAAAACACAACAACAACAACAACAACAACAACAACAACAACAACAACAACAACAATAATAATAATAATTAGAGAAATTGATTTTCCCATGAAAATACTAGTGTGAATGCTTCATGCTGAAAACTTTAGCTCAAAGCTGCTGAAAAAGCTGAAAAAATTTAATAGCAGAGGTGTTAATGTGAGCTCCCTTTGAAAAGATGAAAGAAAAAAAGCCTAACTTTGCATAAAACAGTAAAAATTAGCACAAATCTAGTTGAAAACAACAGAAAACAGCTAAAAGCTAAAATAACCGAACATAGCAGAAAAAATCTGTAAGAAGCATAAATAGCAATGAAAAGAAAAAGGCTAAAATTAGCGAAAAAGTATCTAAGAGCATAACCAGAACAAAATGTGTAAGGTGTTGTAAAGCTTTAGAAACATTTTGCAGGTTTTTAACAGTGGTGGACAGCACTAACCCAAAAATTAACTCCACAATTTCTAAAGCATTTATGAAAATATTTAGGTCCGCAACTTCAAAAATGCTTATGCCATAGAAAAACTAGCGGAAGCTAATTTTAAAACGCAAGTTCAATTTGACACTTACTAGCTGGCAAAAATTCATGTACAATATATGCACAACACTGCCAACTAGTGGTGTATGAACCCTCGAACAGCTTATTCCTACAACTGCCGATTGCTGGGGATGTGATTTCCTGAAACAGACCTTTGGCTCCTGGTGTAAAAATTAAAAAGTTGTTGAGGATTACTAGTTCGGCTGATCCTTTGTCTTTTTCTTTTGTTTGTTGTATATTTTTCATTAAAGAAGCATCAATAAAGTAATTTTAAAACTGTTTATTGGAAAACCGAAGCGATGCATTCTGGGTACATGACGGATTTGATTTGTGACGGGAAATGAAAGTTTTCCATGTAGTTGCTCCAGTTGACCACTAGATGTCAGTCTAACCCCATTGGCGGATTGCTTCGACCAATTACGTCAAGTGTTGAGCTCTAGCGTTTAAACTTTATTTTTAAAGGAGCTCCGATTGTAAAGTAAAATAAATCAATACATTCAAAATTTTAAGGCTGCTGAAAACAGCTCCGTTCATTTCCAATGGGAAAAAAATGGCAGAAAAAGTATAAATAGCAGAAAAACCAAAAGTCATAGCAGACTTGGTATAAATGAGTTGAATGTTTTGATATATGAATTGTTGAAAAAGCACAAAAATTGTGGAATGAGTTAGATGCTGAAAAACGTACGGAAGAAAAAAATGATCTCAGTGTGAAAGATTGTGAAGCGTCACATAATAAACAGTACATAAATAATAC